GGTTGGTTTTTCAAAAAGGCGGGGATTTAGTTAAAGAACAGATAGAGACTAAAGGGAAGCTCTATGAGAAAAGTTAGAATTAAAAAATCGATGTTTTCGTGTCATAGCGAAAGATGGATTATTATTAAAAATAATACTTGCATTAATTGTTGTCACCATTTGTGAAAAATATGGAAAATATCCTCTAGGTTCGCATACCTTTTTTTTTATTTTTTTTAAGGTGGCTAACAAAATACACGGACAGAAAAGTTTAGATCCTGTTCGTTAATGTAGCGCATAGAAAAAAATTAGAAAGAGAACGTTTCGTGTATGGCATTCGTAGTTAGTACGGAATATTAATCTAAAGGCTGCAAGACAGTGAAAGAGTGATGTGCTGAAGTGTGGTTCAGAGAGGTTATTTGGGCTGTAGAAGTTTTTCTTTGAACAGGGTTCAAATAGCGTCTCCTAGAGCGTTAGCAGAGAAGAGTATTACAGTATTTAGTATAAGCGTCCAGATTTCATTGTTGTTGAAATTGCCATAGAAACACACTTTCATGTAGTAGTAGCAGCAGCTTTAAAGTATATGACTTTTTAGTTAAGATGCCTTTCGAGTTTGCTTTATGGCTTGATAGGAAATTAAAGGGTAGATACAGATAAGTTACGAAAAAAAAAAGTATGTACACTATCCTCAAAGATCAGCAATAAATAAAAGAAATTGATGAAATAGTAAAGCTGACTGCGATATCTTAAAATCATCAATAAGATAGATAAATTAATTTTGAAAATATTAAATAATAAAAACAAATAATAAAATAGCAAAGAAAATCAAAATTATCAATAAGATAGATAAATTAATTTTGTAAATATTAAATAATAAAAATAAAATTATAATAGCAAAGAAAGCCTACCACGGCCACATACACATAATATTTTCGACATATGAACTTTTCCCAGATAAATAGTCAAATATCTCACGATACCTTAAAACAGAAGCATGCGGAAATATGTATGAAGTTAACGCACGGTAGATGGCTTAGTAAATTAATAATGTATATGGTTTCTAATATCCTACTTTATTAATGAAAATTTTAACCAGGTTTTTGTTTTGCAGATATTATTGGTGGTGCCTGCCAGCTTCCAGTTCCGAGAAAAGAAATCCAATACTTTTCGTCTTTATTTCCCCTGTCCTTTGTGCGCAATAAAAGTACAGTTTGTACCCGCCTGGGTACACATTCGCAGAACTATATGTTTTTAAAATAAATGTTATGGTCAATATTCACTAGGTGGGTTACCTTATTAAAGAAAATCTTATTCCAAGAGGGGACACTAGTTTACATTCGAACCGCTAGAGGGTGCAGATGGTCACGCGAACAATATGATCAAGTCTCATTGACGCCATTGCTTTTCTTAGGGGTGGGAAAATATCTGGGCTCTGATTGGCTTCGCCGCCATCGCAAACTAGAGGTGGGGAGATTGATTAAACCCCATTGGTGCTTGCTTATCCAATGGGGGCCAGTTTCAAGGGATTATGGGTAAAGGGGGAGGAGCTAAAGAGTCGTGGGGAAGGAGGACACGCCCACAAAAGGGAGAGGAGTGGGGGAAGCCTCTATTATACATATCTCTACTCGTGCGCTTTCTTAACGACACCCTCGATCATGATGACGCTACGAATTGTTTTTTATTTTTTATGGATATTGAAGGTCAGGATTTAGAACTTGGAAAAACAGGTCTTTGGTTACCAGCTGTGCCTTGTAATTTAGGGTTTTCCTTTTTAAACTCTTATTTTCTTTCAATTTGTATAGTTCCGGTGTAGGAAGAAGTTCCTCGTGCATATTAATATCAATAATATTATCGTTACAATTATTGAAATCATGCTACCCTTTTCGGCTATTTTAACTAGGGCACCTGGTGGTAGGTTTTCTTCCCATTCAAGCTTTAATCGCTTTCCCTTTAATATGACCATAGGTGCAATACTATTTCCCAACGCATTACAGCATCCAGCAATGGTCACATTTTCTGCGTGCTCAGGTGCAACTAAGTGAACACGTCCATATCGAAAAAGTTCTGTGGATTTTGGTGCAAATTCATTTCATTGAATTAGCTAGTGTATTAAAGTGATCACCCACTATAAATTTATTTAATTTTTGGGCACGGGCTGGGTTCATTAGTTGCGCCTTGCGCCTAGACATATTAGGATTCCGTTTCAAAAACCCGTAGAGCCAATCCTTACCAGCGATTCCTTTGGAAACATCAAATGGTTGCCTGATATTATTTTCAATGCAGAATTTATATGCAGAGCGACGTACTAACAATGGTGTTAGCGGCATTCTGATTTCACAGAGACGAAGTATCCTTTCAGGAAAATGTTTTCTTGATAGGCACATAATACACTGGATCGTCCTATTTTTTTTTTATTTAGAACGCCAGATGGTTTCTAAGAGTTCTCGTGCTAATGGCAGCTTGAAGTTGTTCTGCACTCCAATTCGCTCGCTGTTTCAATTTCGGTGGCATCGTTGATGAAAAACTAAATAAAAGAAAGAATATTTTACAGTACCGTCTAATAAGGCCCACTATTTAATGGGTCTTATTAACGGAAACTCTTCTTAACCATAAAAAAAGAAAAAAAATGTGTATCTTACCTTTTTAATATCGTTTATATAGCAAAAGATACCCCAAACAATAACTACGCGTCATTACCGAGCGTCGTTCGGACTACAATTGATTTATTTACAGACGTGCAAATTTCGCGGTATTTCTTTGGGGTTTGGAATTCACATAAGTTAGTAGAAACAACGCAACGTTGCCGGATTTTAAAAAAGCGTAGGTTTCGAGTTTTGGCTGGTGGGTCTTATTAGTCGCCGGGCCTTGTTCGCCGCAGGTAGAGTTTGTTCATAGATATAAGGAAGTGACTAACTGATACGAATTAAGGAAAGACCCGGGCAAGTTGGAAGAATGAAATATGACCGAACAGGTCCGGGCTTTGCTTAGAATTTAATTATTTGGGGTTTTGTTAGGAAAGATACTAAACAATATTTATTTATTTATGTATGTATTTATGTTTAAATCTAAAATTAAATTACAAATTATTTTTATTACCTACTTAAATTACTTAAAATTATTCACATAATATATCAGTATCACTATCGCTATCATCGCCTGTTCTAATTATCATTTGTTCTATATTATTTGCAATATGGATATACGATTGTTCTGCTTTTTCTATATGTTTAACAGAATTTGCCCAACTTTGTGGAGGGATGTTAAAAACTTCTGTTTCTATAACTTTAAGGACATTGGAGTTAACACGGGGAAAAACATTGTTACGACGAATGGCAGATTTCAGTTGGTCCCAAACATGTTCAATGGGATTAAATATACGGTGGTAAGGTGGAAGCCTTAAAACTGTATGCCCTAGATTTTTTGCATAATTATCACAGACATATTCCTTTTGTAGGTTCAAGCTTTGTAGAACCTCAATTAATTGCTTTTTGGTATAATCTTCGTGAAAATAAATGTCGTTATTATACATGCAGTTTAGTATTAGGTATTAGTCAACTGTCTACTGTGATAACTTGCATTGTCCATTACAATTACGCTATTAGGAGGAATGTTGTTTTTAAACCAACTTTCAAATAAATCAGCGGTGGTGTCTTCATGGTAATCCAGAGGAGAATCGTTAATACTTTTCGCAGACAGAGAAAGTCCATTTGGAATCCAAATATCTTTAGAGCCAGCATGCAAAATAGTTATTCTTTTACCTCTTTTTGATAGTGCGTTTATTTTACACTCATAAGTCGAGTCAACCCAACCTTTCCCCGGGGTAAGTGTCGAACCAGTGTCGAAATTTTAGGTAATAATCTTGTTGCGTTGTATGTTAATGACCATCCTTGGATAATACCATTCAAAAGCAATTGGTCACTTTCTTATATCTATGAACAGACCATATCTTATGGTAACCACGGTGAGAGTATATTATGCAACAAGTTTGGTAAACAATATTTGACTTAAAAAGTTTACCAAACGTGTTGCATACTGTACTTTTTCTACGACCGTTAGATTTTGGGTACATTTTTGCAAAACAACACGAATACATTCACCGAGATGACCGGCAGAATTGACAAACGACAAAATTCAAACCGTGCCGTAAAAGCTCCCACAACATGCGATTGCTCCCAGACCCTATTAAATGTCTATCCTAAAATGTCCCAAGTTGCTCGAATCCGTGGCAAACGAGGGAACATGAAACTGACGTGGTTAAATGACACTTTCCGCATGCTAGTGTATAATTAGGTAGTTTACAGAAGGAACTACAAACAAAATATTACCGGCAAGATCAAAGAATCATTGACGAGTAAGATAGTAATGTAACAATATTAAATATATTATGAATACATAGTTAAATTAGGTAAATTTAACACTTTTTTAGAGGTAATAGCACGAAAGCCCAAATACATACAACAAGAAAATAAGTACACCTGCAAATGAAGCAAATGAAATGACACCAAGTCCTTTGCAAACTTCCATATAGCTACTAGTATTATCGCACTGCCGATGCCGAGAATAGAGGAACCTATGAAGCAACTATAAAAAAAATGAGAATTCCCATTCAACAGGCGCATGCGCAAGATTTAAACCAATGAGATTGCGGCATCCAACAAACAACATGGCCGCTGATAGATCGCCAACAAATTTGCATGCAGCATATTTACCGCAGTATTTTTTAAAAATATGTCTAGATGTTAAATGGTGGGGCATGCGCGGAAAATCATAACCTTCTCTACGAAAACATCAATGCCGTCTAGTAGTAGTAGTGCCAATATATTATCTATTAGATATAGGCAAACCTCACAATATTCTGGTAGTTTTACTATCAGTCTTTTAAACATCCAAGTCACTTTTTTCACTACAAATAACTAAAACCAGACGTAGTAGATGTTCTGTCGGGGGTTCGTGCGACAGTTAAATGAATATGTTAGTTCAGAAACTAAAGATTTATTATGTAACGACTTCAAATAATTACAATGCCAGTTGCCTGAGGACAGGGCGCTCGCGCATCGATATATGCTGAGTGCTAAGGATAGACTAAATCCTAGAAGTTTCTACGGCAGGAACATTAACATGCTATGTTGCCATGTCTAACAGAACAGTAGAAAACGTACTTAAAATCGCCAACATTTTGGCGTTTGTAATGTCACATTAAATAAAGACAAACGATATCGCTATTGTTAAAAAGGAACTATTGGTGGGTAATGTTTAACTGAATATTAGCGAGACATTTGGTTTAACAGATATTGGTTAAGTTTATAGTTTACTTAAGTTTTTGATTACATAAAAATATTATTTTGTCTATAACGTATCGGTCAAAAACCCCGGCGATGTTCAGCACTGGCAAGATATTTACACTATACTAAAATGAAAACAAACAATGCCATCTTCCTTGATTATAGTGACCACAGTACTCGTTATTAAGAGAAAAAAGTGACACGTGGCATTGTGGCAAGGCACGAATATTTAAATAAATATTCGCTTTGCGCCCTTCGACAAAAAGCAATCAGTTTTTTTTAAGGGCCTTTCGTCGGTGTACGGAAGAAAAGAGCAGCGGCGCCCTTTTGTTTTCTTTTATCAGATTATCCGTCAGTTAGTTGGAAATGGCAAACGAGTTAGCAATGCTCCGAGCGCGACCATCTAGCGATGCTAATGGAGGACAATCACGCTGATTCGATTTACGCCTGATTTTATTTGACGCGGTAATTGGATCACGGGGACTCAGCAGCCACAGCGTGCGTTTTAAGAGCGCGCCCTGTCACTTGGCATGCCCTTTCTTTAACATCGTTTGTTTTCATTGTTTCGTTCCCGTTTTATCGAAACGTTCGGGATAATCCGGTAGACTGCGATTTAAAAAAGGGATCGTAACGAAAATAAAGCTATCGACTACTACATAAACATGGCGGATGCAAATTTCAGGAACAAAGTATAACCACAAAATTATTTTTCCGATTTGAAAAACTGCGCCGAAATGGGTACCATATGGGTATGTAAATATGTGGACTAATAAGTATAGGATAAAAGAAGAACATTTTACCGTCAAGAAGTTTTTAAAGCTCTAATGGATAGTATTTGACATGTACTTGTTATCACAGACTGACTATACAATCATAAAAAAAAATATTCGAAAAACAACGTATTATAGCTATTATTTCTTTCTTCCCAGGCAAGTTTAGATTCCTTATGCATTGAAACTTGATACATATCAAATAATTTGACACCGTGCAGCTCGCGCCATCTATCCAGAACTAGTCACATTATGAAAGTATGCGGCAAAATCTCTATGTAGAACACTTGGGTGGTTCCGTATTTTAGTTTTTTCTTTTTTTTTTAATAGTTTTTGAAAAGTTCCGCATTAGTCAAATTTTCCAAATGCCCAAACGTAACCAAACATGCCTGAAAATTTGTTATGAAAAAATGTCCACATTTTAAGGTTAACGTGTATATTATGACAGTTTCAATTTCAAGATTACATTTTCATCACTGGCTGGCTGATATTCCAACTTCCATTTTGGATAAATTCTGTCCAAAATGTTTAAAAAAAAAACAATTAACTTATACGCGCAAACAAAAATCATTAAGTGGAATCTTTCAATACTTTCCGACCCATAGACAAAGGAGTGAATGTACTTTTACTTGGTGGTGGATTTAATTTGCTTGTTATATACACAAAGGGTTCAAACAATGTTTGTCTATGTAGCGCCGATACGGTGAAGTGTCTAATTTTTTCTCTATTGCACCACCCAATTGCTTTATTTATAGTTTCCTCTGCATCTGTATCAGGGGCAACTTCTTTCGTTTTGTTGCCGATTACCACAACGGAAACCTGAATAGTAAATCAAATTGGTAAAAGGACAACCATACATCAGGGATTAAACCTCTTTCTTATCTTTATTCCGGTCGATATCACTTTTAATTGACATCAAAACATCCACAGAGTTGTTTTTCTCCGTGTCGTATACCAAAATGTAGCCGTCCGCGAGGGCCAAGTAATGCCGAGGTAATTGTTGATTCGTAGTTCCATGTGCAGTCGAAATTTGACAATTTTCGATGCCGGCAGTGTCGTAAAACCTAATTTTTTCTTTTATACCTCTATCGGATTCGATTTTCGCAACATAAATATCCTCGATTGTAGGATGCAGGTCCTTCAATCAGATAACATGCAACAAACAGGTTTGGAGCAGAGGCCCTTACCTTATCTGATAAGTTTCCGTAAATTACTTGCTCCAAAATGGCAGTTTTTCCAACAGATTTCATGCCACAGACAATCACTTTAGCGATTTTTCCCATTGTGGATAATAGTAGTCATTTAAATTGAGGAAGCGCAATTAAAATAGACAATATAGTGAGAATTGTTGTATTTTTTATGGTTATGTCCTCTTTGTAGTTCTTGTGTCATTTGCTTAATTTACTTTCTACCAATGGGACATAGACGGTATAGAATATTAATTTTGGAATTTGCAATTTCGTAGAAGAAGAAACAAAACTAAAGACTGACAGATTCTTTAAATAATACCTCGCTATTTAATTAAATTTTCATTGATGGTGTAAAACAATCCTTTATTTCCAAAGTTGTGTCGTCATAGACCAAGATAATAATAATCATATTTAAATACCTTCATTAATTTGACGGGCAACAAAAAGTTTAAAAACAATGAATTGATTTGTAGGGAAATGCACATTGTATTTAAATGCTCGAATATACAAAATCAACTCACAATGTCCCAGATATTTTTATACCTACCTGATTAGCGTTTTTGTCAAACACGTATAAATCCATAATTCAAGTTTTCGAACTTTGGGCTTCAAGTAAACAGTTATTAATTGTAGCACATAAACAGTGAAAGTTCCGACTTGTTTTTCATCGAAAACGCATAAGCGATACGCGGGTAATCGCAATAACATGTGTTAATTTTAATATGGACATTACTTTATTTTGTTTCTGTACAGAAATAGGATTTAGAAATTATTTGTAAGTATAAATGATATTTTTCCAATTGCATTAAATACCGATTTTTCAGACTAACTCAAAGTTATAGTCAAAATATAACTTTGAAAGCAGAAAATATTTAACTAAATGGTATATAATAATAAATAAATAAATTTCTAGGATGGCGCATTCGACTCGCTAAATAAAGTAAAACTGCAAGTTTGTTCTTATCTCCAAATAAAGAAAAAAATAGGTTATTAAATATTCTTCGTAACTTGATGCATTAATTAATCGAGAAAAGGTTGTTTTTTCCTTTCGTTCATCTATTCTCTACACTACGATGCAATCAATATATTACAATACTAATATTTTCAACTATTTGTGCGGGCCATGTTTTGCAAAGTATTTTTTCTTTCTGAAATGAAGCCGCTTAAGATAACATTGACCATCCTATATATATATATATATATATATATATATATATATATATATATATATATATATATATATATATATATATATATATATATATATATATATATATATATATATATATATATATATATATATATATATATGACACTATATTCCGGGATATCATATTTTCAACTATTTGTGCGGGCCATGTTTTGCAAAGTATTTTTTCTTTCTGAAATGAAGCCGCTTAAGATAACATTGACCATCCTATATATATATATATATATATATATATATATATATGACACTATATTCCGGGATATCATCCGTTCGCTTGTTGAACTCCGACTGGAATCCTGTAGACGTTTCGCCAAAATCTCACTTGGCATCTTCAATGCTCGCGCTCCGAAAACACTTCGAACAATCAGTGTTTTCGGAGTGCGAGCAACAAGTTGCAATGTAAATTTCCAACAAAACTAAGTGCATTAAACGGAATTCTATAAAGCTAACAATATATGCGGCAACAATAAGAGGCGAAGCCGTTATCTGCTTCTGCCGAATCAAAAACACAACTGTAATTAGTTTTATTTTTGTATTTGTTTACGTACTGAGAGACATTCGCTTTTATAAAATCGATAACCGAACCGGGTGGAATTGTTCTTGCGAAACGTTCGAAATAAGACGCGAGAGTGCCACGACGGGATTCTCGGATTCTCTCGGAATTTTTCACAAGCGAAAATAAAAACAAGTAAGTCAAATAACCGCCAAAACCGGTCGTTTTTCCAAAATCCGCGGGCTCGCAATCGCAACGACTCGACGACCTGTGGAAGCGTGCGTCAAACGTTTGTTTTGTTGCATAACATGATCGCGTTATCTCTGAATTAATAGACATACAACAAAAATACAATAAATAGATTTAATGTGTTCTCTTTAACGTTGTCGCTTAAGTTACCGCTCCAGATGTAAATTGTTTGGTTTTACGTTTTATTTCGTGTTGCAGGTATAATTGCGATGACCGTTTCGAGATTTTTACGAACGTGAGTACACATCAGTTTTCATATTGCCCTACGGGTTGCCTACGCTACTATTCTGATCACCGAGTGATTTCGAGTTGGCCGATCTAGTTGCCTTGCGCCTCATCGATGACAGTTCGCGGACAACAGAAAATGTCGCAAGCCGTTTGACGCCATCCATTACTTTAAATAAAATTTGCTCTTTTTGTTGAGCAATGTTTTTATTTTCACTGTTTCAATATAACATGTTTATAAAAAAAAAATTATTTTAAAAAGCAACGGCCCTTTCGTTGAATATGGCGCGGCAATATTAGATTCTCATTCTTCCTGCGCATTCGCCAGATCAACGCAAGTGACTGCCGAATTTTAAAACAGTAATTACAGAAATGCTCTTCGTCTACGTTACCTAATGCAAATTTGTTGTGTTGACTACAACAAAATGTACGAACAGCAAACGCCGAAATCAAAACGTTGGTCAAAAATAAATCGCTTATCGGCGTTTGCCACACGCGATAAATGTTCGTGTGGGGTAAACAGAAGCAGTTTCGTCACATATGTCACATCGAACGCCCTTGGTCTGACGTCAAAACTACTCCTATCTTTTCGAAAATGGTATTTTTTAAGTCTCCGCTTATATTCATCTGTCGAAACAACATTTGAAACACGTTAAACAAAGAAAAAGATTTCACACATATTTTTCTGTTAAATTCACAAACAGCGTCCGAATATCAGTATTTACACCTTTAACGTTGACGGCATAATTTTAATATTTAAATTATGACAGGCATTGACAGATGGCGTACTGGAATAAGGCGGGAATTTGTATTTTGTTTACTTTGAATCGTTAATCCATTGAATAAATTTATACATGTTTAGGCAAACTCCGAAATAAACGACCTGGACTGATGTAAATTGATCGGGTATTTAACTCATGAAAATTCATGCAACTCAGGTGGCTATATTTTCGTAGTAACCTGTGCAATGCCCAATTGTTTTGTAAGCAGCGATATCCACACACTTAATTCTTTTTGCCTGAATATTTAATGGATGCGCACATATTTTTTGCTTACGTATGTTGAATGAACCTTTTTAAAAAGTTAACAGTTGGTTCATAAGTGCGAGTATTTTAGTAACTAGCTAATTAAATTTTAGACTGAGAACTAAAAAGAAATTGTTATTTCGACAAAATAGGTTAGGTACGGTTCGAATAACTACAATTTTAATACGTTTACGTTTCTTGTGTTAAATTTTATATCCAATTCTCTCTTTAGTGTATGTCTATGTATCGCACGAGTTTTGCTGCTTGACAAAGTTAACCTTTGTAGAAATAAAATCACACTAGGAAAGGACAAGCTCGACGGTTAATTTTATTTGATCTAGACTATATTCATTTTCAAATTAACTTTTTGATCGGTTCGCGTATCAAAGATTGCATCAGCTGTTTTCTATATCGATAAGACACACCTTCGCGGATATCCAATAGTCTACAAGGTGGACTTTGAACCCACCTTCACATTATATTAGACTACGACTTGGCTCAAATGTCCCGTCAGCTGAGCCGCGAGTCACACACCTCCAACGGATCCAATAAAAATTCAGATAACGAATGGTGGACTTTGCCCTCTCACTTTTTCCGCGCGTAACAAAATTTGATCGGAAGTTGCATCAGCTGACTTATGGTCGAGTAGCTAATCACGGTATGTAATCGAAAAAACCCACGCGATATTGTATTTTATTTTTTTTTTAATTATAACCCAAAAAGCTCTAAAAATGTTTAATTATATATCCAGTTATGTTATACTTGCCTTAACATCACAGTAAACGGAAATATGTCAATTTGACTAATATAATTATTGCTTCCAACGCCTGATTGGTGAACATTGAAGTTAGGTTTGTTCAGAAAAAAAAGCAATAAAAATAGAATATGATCTATATGTCGGCCCATGCGTGAATACATGTACATTATATTAGGACTTGCCGAGTCCGCTTTTGATGATCCAGGCTTTATCCAACCTCGGTATTGTTTAGTTTTAATAAGCAATTATTGGAATTATGGTTGCTGTTTCGGCGTTGAATATGTCCGGGAGCATCAATAATTAATGGCTCGTTGGGAGTGACCCGTAACCCAAGGGTTATCCCGGTCGAACTGATGGTGACAGTTCAGCGTCTCATGTTAACCCGGATATTTCTAAATTGCCGTCTGGAAATCGACTGGACTTTAGTTCGGGTCTAGAGATTGAATTGCAAATCGACGTTACTATCCTTGGGATTTATCTCGCGGCTTGGGACAAGTGTAAACAATCGCGAGACCTTTGGCACCACGTTCTAGAAACTCCAGGTACAAAGTAGATTCTACGCATTAGTACCACGAAACACTTAAAGTGTTTCAAGAAAAATATCTTAAGTGTCCCGCTATAAAATCCGCATCATCATTTTTTAACAACGAGTTTTAGCTTTTTTTGCAAAAATAAATAAATTGATTTACGAAAGGAAACATTTGCCTTAACAGGTGAAAATAAACTTTTTATAAAAAACACTTTTAGAAACAAATTATTTTTGAAATAATCGCAAAATTTTATTGGAAAAAAGTTGTTTCATTTTCATTGTTCTACAAATGTGCCGATTTGCAAAAGAATCGGGGAACGCTTGCTTTTTTTTTACATTTTTCCCAAAAAATATTTTTTGGTACGTCCCAATTCAAACAAATAGGAATCAAACTATTTAGGTGAGCTAGATTCAATATTTTAAAAGGCGTTTTCTTTTAAATTTTGTTAAAGAAAATTTTAAATGAACCTGGAGCAATCGTCAAACTTGATGCAAAGTCTAATAAGTATGATTTAAACATTTTAAAACCAAATAAACTTTAGTTTATTTCGTTATAATTCAAAAAGGCAATTTAATTACTTCTTTAATGTATTTTTAAAATTTGAATTACAATAAAATCGACTAAACGTTATTTCGTTTTAAAATGAAAAACTTTATTAACTTTACATTAACTTTGACGATTTCTAAGTTAAAATTTTCTCTGAATCGAAGGGAAATACTTTATTAAAGTATTCAGTCTATCTAGTTAGTTTGGTTTCCATTTTTTAAAATTAGGATATATTAAAAAGTTAAGTTGGAAAATCTGCATATTTATAAAAAACTGAAACATTTTCCAATTTTTTTTATATTAAAAAGTTAAGTTGGAAAAACGTGAAAAAATCAAGTTTGTCTGATTTTTTTGAAAATCAGCATATTTGTAAAAAACTGAAATATTTTCCATTTTTTTTTATATTTCCAAAAATGATCTATTTTTTAAATGTTTTGTTCATCAATTGATTTATTTACTAGATTTGATTCACAAAATATTGAAATGACGTCGGTTTAAAATTTTTTAAATAATAAAAGATTAGAATGTCGCATTTCTAAGTATTTTTAGGCGTAGTTTTTACGAACCACTTTAAATAGGTGGTCACGATCGCTAGCAAACTCATCTAAGCAACACATAATGCAAGAAAATTACATTCATGAAGTATTAGTGATTGGTATAATAGAATAAGGAATAAGACAAGTTAGCAAAATTACTTTTCTGTCTCAAGCTATTTTTTTTTAAATTGGCGACCCTTTTTGAACAACCGCGATTGTTTTGCCTAATCTAGCGAAACTAAGTTTTAGCCCGAGATTGTTTATTTGCTTTTGTCAAGGGTAGCCAAGATGTATATTATTCTGCACACTGATCCATAATTGCCTTGGAAATCTAAAAAAAAAATTTAAAGATTTTAAATCGGAAGTGACCGAAAATATCCGAAAACTCTCCCCTCTTTACACAATTTGACTATAGCAAATCTCGTTAAGATTACTTAGTTGGTAATTAAAGTAACACATATTTAAGCAGTCGATTTTTTTGGTACTTGAAGATGAGCTTGCTTCTTTTTTTTCGAAACTTACGGCTTTGGAAATATCTTTTCTTTTTTTAAATTTTACCGTACTTCTTGAACATCCTTTATATGTACATGTAATCCCGAATAAAGAAAACAGATATTTCCGTGCAACTACTATTTACAACTAAATACAGAAAATTACAATAACAAAAATGTCCTGCTCTCCAAAATATTTGCAATCATGCAACTACATTAAGAAAATATCTAACTTAAGCATAATATATCAATCCATAAGTAATAAAATAAAACTATAAATTACAAATTACAAGATTTGAAAACAAAACTACAAATTAGATAAAAAGGGTCACCTTTTTATTTCAAAATGGTTTTATAATTTAATACTAGAATTTACACGCAATGTAATGTTTTTTGTAAATTTAACTTTATTTTAGATAAAATTATATTTGTATCGTTTTAATATAAAGTTTTTGGTTTCAATCTAAAAAAATAGATACTCGTCTGTCTACAAATACCAAAAATTTTCTCCGAAAACTGCTTCCTGTTATCTTTACATCGCTAAAACTAATCAAAATACAGATCCAGAGTTCTGCGATTTTTTATATAACAATGACAAAAAACCTGCAAAATGTGATCACAAACTACATAGAGTGTTTTTTTTTTTCCACGACCTCAAAGTTGATATAAAAATGGGAATTTCAAAATCGCGCGAATTTGTAAAATTTGGACTAAAAACTAAACCAAAAATATATACGTTCCAGTAAACAGTAATGGTAAACGTTATTATTATTATTATAAATTTAAAGAGTGCCTCAAAAATATTGTCATTTTTATAAAATATTTTATTATACTTTTTCTTATTATTATTTTTTCGTTAGGTTTCTATATGGATGTTAAACGCTTGTTTTTTAAAATAAAAATGTTACTGATTGGAATATAGAGAAAGCACATTCTTTCTTCCTTACCAAAAAGCCAAAATTAACAAAAACAAAAAAACATTTTCCGTCACCAATTTCGAGTGTTTATCCGAAATTGTTGATCCTTCGGTGAGCAATAAGCAAACTACCTAATCGGCCGAGGGAATTACAACAATCACTTTCGTAATCGCCGAATATTTATAAACAATTTTATCCCCGTGCTCGGCAAACGCGAACGTTATTAAAACGTTTCGGCAGTGGAACGTGTGGCCCGGGAGGGGGGGAGCCCTCGCTCGCCTTATAAAAGGCGTCGGGGAACGCCTCGGGGCGACACACATCGCGAAAAAGTCAACCCTTCCCGCTCTTCTGCTTTTTTCGTGGGAGAAGAAAAACTACCTCTTTTAATCTGGCTACTAAAACCGTCGAGATTCGAATTGTCGCGAGGTACCACCGTCGTGACTGTTTCGTGTCTAAATTCGGCGAATTTTATCTGAAGGTCATCTTCGGGTACTACTCCATGTACCACAAGAGTTACACTTAAAAACGGTAGTGCGAGAAAATTTCAAAATGCCGGACCTAGCGGCGGTCAGCAACAGCGGTAAAACTTTCGACACGTAAGTTCTCGCGTTTAACGTCGCCTTGAAGTCGGGCATTTTAAAAATAATAACAACGTGAAAGGTGCACGATTGAAAAAAGAAATTCAATTGAAAAAAGGAATTGAATACGATACATATAGGGTGTTTCAAAACGAAAGGGGCATAGAATACCAGCATGTTCTTTGTATCAAAATATTTCGATTTGTCAAATACTTATATTACCTACTGTCGTCACCGCCTGCGGAAGCCTTATTCCGCCGTTGGTAGCGTTGAACGTTACAAGTTAATGTGAAATACGCGAAAAAGTAAAACAACGCGAAAACCAGAGGTGCAAAAAATCCTTATTATCAAAAAATAGCGTTAGTTTGGTTAACAAACATGTTTCCGAAAATACCTTCTGTAAAACATACGACTCTGTATTTTTTTGTTTATGTTAGCTGAAAACTCCGTCATGAAGGCCTAGGCAAAGTTCGCATTGCCGGGCCACTTTAGGCAAAGTCCGAAATTATAAGTACGACAATCTTAGGTTTGCAAAATGTGTAGCAGGCAAACTCCAAGCTGATATCCGGATTGCAGACGCTCGAAACTGGTCGCTACGTATTCACATAATCGAGGCAAGGTGAGACTTCACTGAATTCTCATTCTGTAGTCTTTTTAGTGGTAATTAGGCGGCTGTTCCGTTCAATTAAGTTTAATCGTTATCTGAGTTGTGACTAAGAAGACATGAGTGACATGAGTGAAATGAACGCGAGATTTTTGGAGAAATTAAAGAGTATGCAAAAACCAATAAGTTCATTTTACATTCCAACGATAGAGAAGTACGAATCATTAATTAAAGAAGCTGAAGGAGGCAAAAAAGCTGCGAAAAAAACAACTGTTCAATACCGACGTCTTAAACGTTACTACACACGTTTGCTACTGTGACATGGTTTTTTAATAATAAATTAAACAATAAATTATTATTACAAATTTATTTCTTTTACTTCTATCGCAAACTATTGACAGTATGATAATAATGCGGCAGGTTATTTGTGAGATTGCCTACTAGACATTTGGCAAACCTAAGATTGTTGTACCACAGTGTACGCAATGTCCGAAATATCTAATAATTTTGGACTTTGCCTAGGCAAATCTAGGCATGACTTTTCGGGTAACATATATACCACTTACCTGAAATTTAGTCCACAAATACTAGCCATCCATGTAGTGCAGGAAACTCTTCGGATGTTCAATGGACTAACATTTTTGTACAACTTGTGGGTATCCAGTAGCGAATCTCTTTTGGATGTCCTTTAAATTTTCTTCACTGTTGGATATAATATCAAATGATATAAAATTTACGCGTGATGCTAATTTCTAAGAACATGTTTTTGTTGGACTATTTGTAATGCTATTTAAAGACGATCATCACGTTAAAATTTACAACTGAAAGTCAGGCCGATATAGTCACAATATGTAACGTTGGCATGGAATGGCACTATATTTTATGTATATATTTTTTTAAAACAAGTATTATGCGACATAAGAAGAATCGTTACTTACCAAAAACTAAAGTTGATATGCTTTCGTTAAACTTTAACGTTTTAGCATGTAGCAAGAATTAATTAATTATTACTGGTACGGTTCAAAAACATGTTTTCATTATTTCTTAAAAGAAGCTTTTTGGATTTCAAAAATATTGTGAATGTATGTTCCAAGAAAAATCCAAACTTGGATTACAAATTTTTTATATATTTGGATCCCAAAACGACAGTTTTAGGTTATAAAAGTTACTGCTGACCAAATTTTAATGTCTTGTACAGGAACCACGCTAGAGTTTTCAATACCATACCACAAAAAATTACTGGTTATGGAATTATTTGAGGTATTGTTTTATCAAAGAAGGAACTTGATTAACCATTCACGTGAGTGGATGGATTAAAAATGTTATTATTTTTCAATATTCTCTCTTGAAAGTGAAACTCCCTGTATAAAAGCTGTTTTTTTTTAAGAGTGATATTTTACAAAATTTAATTAAGAATTTGTTAGGGAGAACATAAAATATTTTTGTAACCGTTTTCTTTTTAACTTAAAACATTCAAAATTAAATTACATTTTCAAATTTACAATTTAGGTGAAAAAAATTCTTATTTACAGTCTTGTAGTAGTATCATAAAATTGCACTTGGTTGTTGTAAGGCATTTTTGTACTTAAAAACTGATAGCGATCGTAAAGAAGTTGTAAAATTCGTTGTTTATTCAAGACTAGGAAACCAAGCAGAAACAATTGCATTCAATAAACAAAAATTTACATTATCAAAAACCAGTGTCACTTAATATTTCCAACCCAGTTGGTGAAAAATGTCTCGACACCTGACATTTAGCAGCTCATTAATATTAAATTAATATGCACACCTGTAAACAGAGAAAGAATAAAAATCAGGAAACGCATAAAGATCTAGTTACCGACTGCTAACATACGAGTCCGCTTTAAAAAGTGATAGAAGTACACGTAATATTATGCAATAAGTTTGATAATTGCTACTTTAGGCACAAGTTTGGCACAAGCGAAACCAGTGTTTAAGAAACTAGTGACCGAAGTCATTGTTGTGAGTGTTGCATGCTATACTTTATTTACAATCCTTAGCTTTTGAGTACCTTCGTGGCTGAAAATATTCGATGTACTAGACACTTCTGAACTGGCTTGCCACCGCGACTAACGAACATAATGTGTTAAACTGATACTCTGCATAATTTGGTATTTTAAAGTGGGAGTAGTATTTTGGCACTTGCATCGGGAGATCATTCGGATAATCGCAGCAACTAACTGATATCAGGAAATCGGTTCATGTTTCAGTTCCCTCGCCATACTTTTATGCAAAAAATTACCTCGGCTCCATTTTTGTGGGCAGAATTCCCGGTATTATTATTTGATTTCGCTTCACTTGATCTCCTTTTCTCCGTTTTTAGATACTCCGCCGAGTTTACGAGGATTGCCAAAAGATGGAGCCACGCGAACGGACGGCTCTACAGCCAACTGCGAGGGGTCAGCGTCGTGAACGGATCCGTTCAAGATTTGGCGCCGACGGTGAGACGTTTTTCCGAGTTTTCAATTTACCGAACGTTTGTTTACGGTACAGGTCAAAGCTTATGTAGAGGAAAACATTGACCTTTGTCAACCGGAAACAGTCCACATTTGTGATGGAAGCGAGACGGAGAACAACTCGCTGGTTAATCTAATGGTTCAGCAGGGAACCATCACGGCCCTACCCAAGTATCAAAATTGGTGAGTTTGGTTTCGCAAAATGTGGTTACGCTACTTCTACCCTAAATATATGAAAATTGAAATTTTTGATTCGGCTAAAAACAGAATTTAGATTTATCCTATAATTTTCAAATTCATCAAAAATGTCGGATATATAAAGCATTTTTTGTCTATGTGAAAGTAAATTTAGTAATCTTTTTTCCTGTTCAAATACTCCAATACGGACCATGTACGTTAGGAGTAAAGTAAACCAACAGCTTTTTAATACAAATTTCATATTCTCGATGTGCTTCTCAACCTTCCAGGGCGCTTGCATAATATCATCAGTTACATTATCAGTAGTGCAAAAAAATTGTAACAATTTTAACGGCAAAAAGCGCTTCAAAATAACTTGGTACTTCGTCCTATTGAACATCATCGTCGCTTTCGTTACCAGAGTTCAGATCAGTATTAATATCATTATCCTTTTAATAACTCCGTTGTTATTAAATTATCATCAACAGTTGGGAAGCTATCTAGGAAGATACATTTCAATGTTGGTTGGATCCTGGCCGCTACTGCGCAAACATATACTTAGGAGAACCTTCCAGTCATCGTCATTATTTTTGTACTTCTCGTACACTGTACACTGAACCAGAGGTCTAAATCAAACTCATCTTTCGATTTTATCAGACCTGCATGTCGAAAGCAGTTTGAAATAGTGGTTGCAGTAACATCATTCCAACATTGTGCAAGTAATTTTATGGAGTCTAGGATTGTGATGTTGAAAGGTTCCTTATTTTCAATGACCGGATCAAACGATACAAAAAATATCTGCGGTAATATGTCTTAAGGCATTTTATTACGCCCTCATCCATTGGTTGGACGGCTGAGGTGTTATTTGGAATCAAAAGTTCTGATATTTGAAAGAATTAAGATTTTTTGAATTAGCTGCACAATTGTCAATTGTCGTCAGAAGCAATATTTTGCTATTCTGACGTTTTAGTTTTTCATCCCAGTCCTTTAAATCTCTTTCTTCAGCCTGTATCCCCTTCGTGGTTCACTAGAGTCTTCCATCTCTCACAGTCCTGGGCTTCGGTGATGAGAGTATGCATGGTCATCCCCGTAGGTTTTGTTAATTGATCGATCCATCTTGTCGGTGAGCGGCCACGGTTTCTTTTTCCTTCGACTTTTCCCTGAATGACTATTTTCTGTAAGCACTCTGGACCTCTTCGCATTACATGTCCAAACTATTTTAGGACACGCAATCGTATCAGGCTGGACAATCTTTGTTTCACTTTTACTTGTTTCAATATGGAGTCATTAGTCCGGTGTTGTGTTCATGAAATATTTAGTAATTTCCTCCAACAATACATTTCCGTAGCATCAATTTTGTGTTGTTCACTCATTCTAACTTTAAATAATTAAATTAAATTTAAATAATTATAAAAAATTGCTCAAGTCATCCAGGCTCGCTGGTTTGATTTATAAATGACAGGTAGATTTTTCACATTTCACATGTACCAATAACAAGAAGTTTTCATTTTTTGCTTCCTGTCATATACCTCAACTTCGACTGTTTCCTACCCAAAAACTTTTCTCCTCTGAATATAGGGTACGATCTGGAGTCATCTCATTGATCATGAATATCCTCAGAGCTGCAATTTTGTGCAATACTGTGCCATTTATCCTCTAACCAGGTTGTTTGTTAACATCTCCTGTTTCACCAGAAATTTTTCCGACGTTTATGTCGTGCCGAACTTTAAAACGTTCCGAGTCAATCTGTAGAACAACTAAAATTCTCACCCAGTAATGTCCTGTCTAATTCTTCGGCTTTCAATTTCAGAACTGGACTACATTGCAATATTTTTGGATCTTCCAACTTGAAACCATCGTATAAGAACTTTATCTACATCTGAACTTATTGTACTTTATAACCGTAATAGAAGTTATATATGGTATGTAATATCACATCACTGCGAATGCACACTGCAGATGTTGATTTTACATAAAAAAATTTAGTCCTATTTAAAAATTAAACGTTTTTATTTTAGATCCAAAGAGTAATAATAAAATCATCTTTACAAGCCTTCCCCAACTGACCAATTTAATTTATTTCACACACCGTCTTTGCTACCCTTGACCCATCGCATCGGTTCTTGTTCGTGGTGACTTAAGACATCGATAAAACTAGTATTTTAAACTTTTTGTTGATATTTACACTGTACTTGTTTGGTTTTTTCGGTAACTGCTCTACCCTCTTTCGTGGTAATATTCAAACATTTACGTTTGTTTATGCAGTTGGTTGGCGCGCACCAACCCTGCTGATACCGCCCGCGTAGAGTCAAAAACGTTCATCTGTACCGAAAATCAATCGGAAACGATCCCAACTCCCAAGGAAGGGGTTAAAGGAGCGCTCGGTCACTGGATCGCTCCGACCAATATGGAGGTCGCCGTCAAAGAGAGGTTCACAGGTTGCATGAGAGGTCGCACCATGTACGTCATTCCGTTCTCGATGGGACCGGTAGGTTCGCCCTTATCTAAGATTGGAGTCGAACTGACGGATTCCGCTTATGTGGTGGCCTCGATGAGAATCATGACACGAATGGGACAAGCCGTAACTCAGCAACTGGCCAAGGGCGCGGACTTTGTCAAGTGCCTGCATTCAGTGGGCGCTCCCGCCAACGGATTCGTCGAAATGCCCAGCTGGCCGTGCGATCCTGAACGCACTATAATTTTGCATGTACCAAAAAACAATGAGATTGTCTCGTATGGTAGCGGCTATGGCGGCAATTCCCTCCTAGGAAAGAAGTGCTTCGCCCTTAGAATAGGGTCGACGATCGCGCATAAGGAAGGATGGTTAGCAGAGCATATGCTGGTAAGTGCAAGTGTGGAAGAATTTTCCAAATTTTTTTTGAGTGGCTGAGGACATATTTGCTCAATGGTACAAGTGCATTCTCAAACAACATTGTTATTGGCCTATAGATGATCAAGGTATGCTGAAGGTGGTTCTACTTTCTTAATTTAGAACAGTACTAATGACCTGATTTTTTTATTGCTGCACTTGATTTTCGGTTGATAAAATATTCTTTTTATTGCCCCCCACATTCTGGAGTGACCGCTAGTGAATTAGTCAGCACAGGGCAATAATTCTTTCTCATAGAATGTTTCTGCTATAAATTATTACTGAAAATGTTTGTAGATTTTAGGCATAACCAATCCAAAAGGTCAGAAGCGTTACATAGCAGCGGCCTTCCCCTCGGCTTGCGGGAAGACTAACCTGGCAATGATGACCCCCAGCTTGCCTGGTTACAAGGTCGAGTGTGTTGGGGACGACATCGCCTGGATGCGGTTTGATAGTAGCGGACAACTCAGAGCTATTAATCCAGAGAACGGTTTCTTTGGCGTGGCCCCAGGTAAGTTGTTCCTCTGATAATAAAAATCAAAGAACAATTAGATTGAAGCATTGGCAATTTCAGTATTGTGAATTACAACAATAACTTTAAAACTGAACGTTTCCGTTTAAATTTTAATAGCCTATACTTTATTTTTGTCAGTATTTTTACATAGGTTTTAAGCATAAATTATAAAATTAATTTTAGAAGCAAAAAGTTTATTTTTGTAACTATTTTATTTTTTAGCATTTTTGCTTAAATTATTGACATATATTATTGACACATGAGTTCTTTTTTTTAATTCAAAAATTCAATTTGCGATTATGACTTCAAAACGTCTATTTTAGAATAAATTGAAAATAATTTCAGTAGATAAAAAATTGCAAGCAAGATTTTCAGCAACTTTGCCAGCAGACACGCAAAACTGCAGCCAGTATGCTCCTCCTCCTCACCTTTTTCAATGCTCATGCATGCTTTGTTACCCTAAAACAGGAACGTCTACCAAAAGCAATCCGATCGCGATGAAAACGATATTTAAAAACACAGTCTTCACCAACGTGGCATCGACCAGTGACGGCGGCGTTTTCTGGGAGGGCATGGAAGATGACATTCCCCAAGGAGTGACCATCAAGGACTGGAAAGGTCGCAAATGGACCAGCGAATCTGGCAGCCCTGCCGCGCACCCCAACTCGAGGCAATTCCCGCAACCCGCAACGCACTTCCGTTAGTTTTAATGTTCTGGCTTCACTTTAGATTTTGTACTCCAGCTGCGCAATGTCCGATCATCGACCCTGCCTGGGAGGATCCGAACGGAGTGCCGATATCGGCCATCTTGTTTGGGGGCAGACGCCCCGCGGGTGTACCTTTGGTTTACGAGGCGCGCGACTGGGAACACGGGGTGTTTATAGGGGCGACCATGAGATCAGAGTCCACAGCAGCAGCCGAACACAAGGTGGGGTAAACTGTGTATTTTACTTTCATTATAAATAGCGAACCATTATTTTACAGCAAACATTAACGAGCATGCATTTTATCTTGCTGAACATCATAGGAAAATACTTTAGTTATTACTTTTTTTTATTTAATTTAATTGGTTAATCAACTAACTGGATATCCACGCATTTTCCGGCATCTCCCGAGAAAACATTTTTTTTTAACAATTTCCACACACCCAAAGCTTCTCGGTGGGAATGGAACCCACAACCTCCTTCAAGTCGAGGTGTAACGCCTTGCCAATCAAGTCATCCCCGGTCCCCCACTTTTTATTTATATTATGCTAACAACCGGGTCTAGTTTCTTCTTCTTTCACTTTTCACTTCATATAAGCAGAAACCATATATCTATATATCAAAACCGATGTTATATTTTTTAAATCCACTCGCACGTTAACCCCTATCGTGGAATTCCGAAATTTAAAAATAAAAAAAAAGGTTCCCTACAAACAATTTAACTTTTTCTCTGTTATTGGAAATGAAGTAGTTCGTTACTTTAAAATTGAATGTCGAATAGTATTATACATGATATAAGCATTAAAATCTCGATATTTCTACTGTTCTATTCCAGGGCAAATTGATAATGCATGATCCGTTCGCTATGAGACCTTTCTTTGGCTACAACTTCTGCCATTACCTGAAGCACTGGCTGTCTATGAAAAACCGATCCGAAAGGTTGCCGAAAATCTACCACGTCAATTGGTTTAGAAAAGGGGCCAATGGTAAATTCCTATGGCCCGGTTTTGGAGAGAACAGCAGAGTACTAGACTGGATCCTCAGACGATTGGATAATGAAGACTGCGCAATGGAAACTCCCATTGGGAACATTCCCAAACCGGGCAGTTTAAATTTGACAGGACTCAAGGAAGACGTTAATACAGACGAGCTGTTTAGCATACCGAAAGATTTTTGGAGGGAAGAGGTGTTTGCTATTGAGAAATATTTTCAGGAGCAAGTGGGATTGGAACTACCAGAAGAAATCCGTCAACAGTTGAAAGCGCTGAAGAAGAGAGTCGACACTATGTGAATATCGAAATAGTAAAAGGTGATAAGCATGAAAAGACATTAATCGTTCACTAGTTTTAGGCATAAATGTTTTATATTTTACAAAATAACCTATAAAAGGTCTTTCCTACTACGAGTTAATTTTTACACCTGCTGTATATTATAATAAAATATTTTTAAACTATTTTGACCACTTTCTATTAAAGACAACAAACCCAGAAATCCTAAAAATGTAGTAATTGATATATCAAAAATATCTCAAACTTACAATGGCTGCAACTATTGCTCCATTGTCTCATGTTCATCTTCTAAAGCGGCATAAGCTTCCCTCAAAATTCTATCCCTCCACACCTCATACTCTTCAATCTCTTCAGACATTTCACTAACAGCTGAACCATCTTTTACAAGCAAACGGGTTAATCACAAAACTAGTGTATTAAATGAAACTAACCTAAATCTATAATAGGATCCTCTTGTTGTACAGTCTTTGTATTTCTTCTCTTTTTTAATGAGTGCTTTTCAGGGATGAAAGGTTCAAGCTCAGTAACCAAAGCTTTAAACTGGGATGGCTTCAATCGACTCAGAGAATGCAGCTGGTGCTTATCGATGTTTATTTTTCTTAACCTAAAAAAATCAGTTTCCTAAAAAAAGAGGACACCCTAAGCTCACCCGCAAGCTTACCTGCATGCTAAGTAAGTTGCCGCTACTGCATATTGAGGATGGTTTAGATCCTTAATCTTCTTGTCGTGTTTTAAGTAGTTTGACAGGATTTCCTCCGCAATGTCTTTAACTTCCGCACATCCGAGGAAAACACATACATTGGCAACCGTCAAGGCGGTCTCCAATCCTAGCAGAGTTTGGATCGAGTTGTAGTTCTTCTCGTATACCGACTTCTTAAGGCCAGATAGTTTGTACGCAGTTTCCTAAAGTTTGAAGTTGTGGGCAACAGAGTAAACATACCGGAGTTCCAGGTTTAACCTTGTCAATTAGGGCTCCACAATTTTGGGTGGCTATATCCAAGCATAGGACAGTTTTAGCTTGATCATTTATGCCTTTTATGGAACACTTATTGTGGTAAGATCTAAGACATTCTTCAGCAGATCTACATTTGACTAATATTAATTAAAAACATTAATAAAAAAATGGGTAGCCTGACCTTAAAATTGTTTCGTCGACGATATTTAATTTCAGTGCAGCATTCTGTAAAACGGCTCTATTCATGTTTTCAAAAACCTAGCAACTCGTCACGCCAGTTATACAAGTTGTAAAAAAGCAAAAAGCGGGAAAAGACCAAAACATCCTAGATAAAAGAACCATTTCAAATACTGACATGGAAATCTTCTTCTTTCATTTAGTAACCAGCCTGTCCGAATACGTGATTTAAAGCCAATTTTCGAACGCGACATCTATTGTGTGTATGTGAAATTTGCATTCCGGAATGCAGGCGATAGTTTTGATGCTCATACAGAGATGTCGACACAACAAGGTGTTTTCTATCTACAAAAGGAAGTTTCGAACTTTTTTACCTTTTAGGCGATAAAGTCAACTTGACGATTGTACTCAAATTCTTCAAGTATTTTTGTAGCATATTATTTCCACAAATATTGATGAGTTTAATACCTGAAGATCATTCCTCAGTTTGCTTTATATTCTAACCGCAATATTTTAAGTATAAAGTCCCCTTATAATTAAGATCAATTTATCAATTTATATTAATTTGAATGTTGATACCACAAAATCGTGTTGAAAGAAATTTTAAAAAAGTTCAGTTTTTAGTTGTTTCTACTTATAAGAAATCCTGAGATTTGATCGTAAAACTACACACATATACGTTATTATTTAAAAACAACGAGGGAAATAGAGAAACAAACTCCTCTGTAGGCGTGGGATTGCCGTTGTAATAAGAAAAGAGAGGTGAAGACATCATCCCGTCATTAAGGGTCCAGACTCTTATTGGTGCGACGAAAGTTTGCGTCGCATTCGTCGTCGTTTCGGACCAGTAGCGAGGATGCTGCAGGATCCGATCTCTTCGCCACGCCTTTCTTTCTCGTCGCCAATGATTGTCCCGAGCATCTAGTTTTCAATCCCTCCTATTTCTTGAAATTTTGTTCCTATTTAACGCATGCATATATTAGGTACTTCAAAACAGATGCAAGTTTAGTAAATGGATATGGTATTTTCAACATTTACGAAAGCCGAATAATATTGAGTACTATTCGGCGGTATTATACATTGTTTTATAAGATTCCTAGCAGACATTTTATTTTATTTAGCATTTTCAAGGTTCGAAATCAATTTAAACACTTTTATAAGTTTTAATAATTATTTGCAAATTGTAGACGTTACGACGTAGATATCTAGAACTTTTTTGTGGGTCAGCTGTACATTGCCCAAATTCGGGGTTAATATAAAATGTTCTTGAAAAAAATTACAAGTAATAATCACTGGAATGACAAAGTTAAGTTTTTAAAAAGTATATTTACTAACTTCAATAAAGATTAGATTAATTGCAAGGTATGTTTTTTAATAAATCTGATATTTGTTCAAAAACTCCATTACCTACATGATCAGTTTTCTTTTTCTATTCTTTCTGCTCAAAATTATACAGATAAGGTTGTGGTGTGCACCACTACCACCAGAAAAATACATTTCAAAATAAATCGGAAATATTAATAAATAAAATAATTTTTATACCAAAAATAACATAAGGAATGCTATTTCAGAAAGAAGGCGATATGTACGATGATTGATCAATTTTATGTAACAACATGTACATTATGGCTTTATCTCTAAGGTGATGGCAGTATTAGAACGCTTGTCAAAATTTTATACTGCTGGCATGAAATGAAATTGCCGCTATATCATCAACGCCAAAAAATTTGAGGTTATGTTTTCCATGTATTTGAAGTTTGTTCACGGTGTCAGTTAAAATCGTTTTGTGGCTATATTTTATTTAATCTGCGTGAAAAGAGTGGTTTTCTTCATTTGTGAACAGGCATAAGCACCACTAAGTTTATGAAAGCCCACTAGAAGAGCCGTTGGTTTTAATAGGAAAAATGTCACTGAGTTTTTTTACTTGTCAGTGAATACTATGGCGGAACGAAAATATGGATCTTAGCAAATATAGGTATAACCTAGATATCCACAAGAACGATGAGTTGGTGCTATTTCGTCAGCAGAAAGAGGCTCTCTTATAACCATTGTGTATAGGAGTGATTTTGTGCCATCCATGATTATCTTTCCCAACAAAAAAGCCAGTGGCCAGCTGAAAAAGGGGGCACTTCCAGGATAGCGTGTGCTTTTCAGCCATCCGGGTGTATTCAAACAGGTTTATTTAGAAAATGGTTTACCACTTCCTAGAACAATCCAAATCTTTAGCAACCAATCTAATACTGCTGATATTATTAATTATCAAAGCTATAGACAATCATGTTACCATTTTATGCTTACCAAACCATAGGGCGAAGTGAGAATTTTCATGAGAACCGAAAAACGTGCAGTTAAGTTATGATATTTGACAGTTATTTGGTAGGGCCTATCTTAAAGTGCAATCAGCAGGAAGAACTGATAAAGGGTTTAGTGCCACTGGGCTCTACTCTTTAAGAAGAAATAATTTCACAGTCGAAATATTTGAGGCCGCAATAAGAAAAGCAGAATTATCGAATGCACGTCCTTATGATGAGCAAAATCACTCGTCTAATTTTGATCCTGGTGAGCTATTTCGATAGGCAGAACTAATAAAGAAGCCGGGAAATAGGGGAAGTGAATATAGGTCTAAAATAATTATGTCAACACCAAATTTCAATACAAAAATTTACCCGAAAAGTTTTCAATGAACCAGTAGTTGATGATTCATCTGATTAAGATGTGCAATTAAGCAGCTGAAAAGTTGTACAAAGTAGAGAAATATGAGCTCACCAAATTTGTCCAGTTTAAAAAAAATATGTTTTTGTTTGCCATATTTGCGATTACTAGATATATGCTTTTTGCCTGTCTGATGGTCTAAATTCAAATGATTTGAGTAGTAAGCATCTAAACATTTTTTGTGTATGATAAGTCTATTCCATATTTTGCTCCAGTTTTTAATTTCTAACAAAAATCAATTTTTCAAAATATTTTTCTAAAATTTACTCTTTGGAGATACTTAGAACTATTTGTTTTGATTTTGATGTTATTGCTAACATAATTCCCTGCGAATACGGGACACAACGAAGGGCTTCCTGTACTCTAATAAATCGCGTCTCCTGCTGCGAGACGAATATCTCCGAAAACGGACGATTTGATATCGAATGATGCAGAATATCTTGTACGTTTATAGCCAAAGACATTACAATATATTACTGCTAGCATACGGAATCAGTCTAACTATGTAATAATAATAATAATAATAATAATAACACTAATGAAGTTTATTCACATTTGGGCCTTTCAGGAAATACAAAAATAAAGATATAAAAGTGCATAAAAAAAATTATCACAGACCATTTATTTTTAACAGCTTTCTCCTTAGTAGGCATTTTCAACACTTTAGGGTGTATAGAATATAAGGTTTTTGAAGCTTAAGATTCTATTCTGAACCACATTGTGACTCCGAGGGACATTAGTACAGATCTGTTCCTAACGTGTTATATATCGGCGGATTACGCTGTCAAGTTGAATTTTACCTCTGAGAGATTTCTAACAGGTCGAGGTGTAAATTATTGCCGTCGATAGGTGTTGCACTGGCCACTTAAATAGAAGTTTCCCATAAAAAAAATGGAATGGACACAGTATGTTTCAGCAAAAATTACTCATCAACTTAGACCTTCCCCTGACGAGTGTAAAAAGAGAAGTTCGAATTTGCCGGCCTCTTTGAGAATAATATTATCTAATAATGTTTCCACCATATTTGTATCTTTGTACATAGAAATATTTGCTAAAATCATCTACGTTTTGCTTGTTTGGTTAAATCTTCAATTACGCTGAAAAAAAGAATTATTTGGTCTAAAAAAATGAAGTTATTTTAAAATATAATATAAACAAATATTTATTTCAAATTTTGGAAAAATTTTTGTATCCAATAAATATTTATTGGATGGAGAGTCAATAAATGTGTGTTTTATTCAAATAAATATGGTTTTTGAAATCTAACAAGTATCTATTATTCACACGTTTATTGCTTCTAAATACTTAAGAATATATAACTTCGATATAATATTATATTAATATTAACCAACTAAATATTTGATGTAGTTGTAGTTTAAAAAAAAACTAGTAAATTCTTAATAAATAACTCTTCATTAAAAACAATTTTTAAAATGTAATTTTTTTTTAGACAGGGGCTTGTCTTCGTTAAGATACTTCTAAACTACAAAATGATATTGTCAACTAACCAAAATTACAACAATGAAACTTTTTAATGCAACAACTTATTGATTAAAATGTCAGAAAGATTGCTTGCTTGCTTGATTGCAAGCTAGGAGTTATGATGTGGTATGGTGGCAAAAGGAACTATAGAGGTATGTTTTACTAAACACGTGCTTATTTATATAAGTATATATTTTTTAAAGAAATATGCATACTTTAATTTAAGAAAATTAAATCCTATTTATTATAATGTTATATGAGTTGAATCAAATATACAAGCAGTTCAGCCAAGTGAATATTTATTTTAGCTTAAACGACTTATGTTAATATTATCTTTAATGCCTAAGAAATTTAATCTGTATTTTATTACTGGTGCTGAATATAAAAAGATGAAGGGATACGACAAGACTAGGAGCTTTTATGCAAATTTATTAATCAATTATATTTAAACTGCCTACTAAATGTTTTAAATTTTATAAGTAAAGTCTTTTCATAGATACAAGAAAGTAACTAACTGATACGAAAGACCCGGGCAAGCTGTAAGAATGAAATATGGCCAAACAGGTCCGTACTTTGCTTAGAATTTAATTATTTGGGGTTTTGTTAGGAAAGATACTAAAGAATATTTATTTATTTATGTATGTATTTATGTTTAAATCTAAAATAAAATTACATACCTATTATTTTTAATACCCACTTAAATTACTTAAAATTATTCACAAAATATATCAGTAACACTATCGCTATCATCGCCTGTTCTAATTATTATTTGCATTATGGATATACGATTGTTCTGCTTTTTCTATATGTTTAACAGAATTTGCCCAACTTTGTGAAGGGATGTTAAAAACTTCGGTTTCTATAAGTTTGACATTGGAGTTAACACGGAAAAAACATTGTTACGACGAATGACAGATTTCCGTTGGTGCCAAACATGTTCAATGGGATTAAATATACAGTGGTAAGGTGTATGCCCTAGATTTTTTGCATAATTATCACAGACGTATTCCTTTTGTAGGTTCAAGCTTTGTAGAATCTCAATTAATTGCTTTTTGGTATAATCTTAGTGCAAAATAATGTCGTTATTATACATGTCGTTTTGGATTGTTGCTTTTGTGTCACATGAGGGAGGGGTTTTAGTAAACTGTCTACTGTGATAACTTGCATTGTCCATTATAATGACGCTATTAGGAGGAATGTTGTTTTTAAACCAATTTTCAAATAAATCAGCGGTGGTGTCTTCATGGTCATCCAGAGAAGAATCTTTAATATTTTTCGCAGGCAGAGAAATTCCATTTGGAATCCAACCATCTTTAGAGCCAGCATGCAAAATAGTTATTCTTTTACCTATTTTTGAGGGCGCGTTTATTTTACACTTATGAGTTGAGTCAAGCCAACCCTTTTCCGGGGTATCATAAGTGTCGAACCAGGTTTCATCCAAGTAAATTGGCCTTTGTTGTTATCTGTAAATCCTATTTTTTTCTAGATATTCCAGTCACCATTTCCGAATTCTAAAATATTCCATTAAAACTTGCCTTTTGTCAATTTTTTTAAATCTAAAACCCATGTGTTGTCACATTTAACATCGGTTTCATCTTTTTCAAGCCCCCTAATTAAGATATCTAATGTAGGCAAGCTTTCTTGCTCGTATAACTAGTAAATTTTACACCGTATTATATCTTAATCACTTTCATTTACACCCGAGAAAATATCAGCATCGCTTCTTTTTTTCCTCTCTGAAATGGGATTATTCACAATTTTCCATACAGTTGATGTTGGAATTTTCGTTAATGTGGCCGTTTCTTCTAAAGATGCTTGCTTGCTGGTACCACGTTCAATGAGAGTCAAATAAACATTGTTTATAACTTCCTTAGTCTTAATAGAATAGTGTTTTCTACATTTGGGCGGGAGCATCTCCTGAGATACACTAGACTCGCTGTATTACACACGAAATAAGAATAATTACTAATAAACTTAAACTAAGTAGTGTACCAAACCAAAGAATATTAAACACAGGTAGGTATAAAATTATTTTCTATTACGTACCACAATTTTACCTGAATTGAATTCCGAAACTTTAGGTAATAATCTTGTTGCATTGTATGTTAATCACCACCCTTGGATAATCCCATTCAAAAGCAATTGGTCACTTTCTTATATCTATGAACAGACCATACTTACCCGAAATATAAGTCACAATTGATCCATGCTACATTTGATTAAAAATATTTCCATTTTCATAATAATTGTAACGGGTTTGCCTCCAAACACCTAAAAAATCTTAGGACTCCGCAGTCACTAACCGCAAACAAAATCACAATGATTGGGTTAAGCAAGCCACGTTGGTGTGGTGTCCTTGCTCTATAAATGATTGAGTTATTTGTATTTAAACTCATTTCAAAGAAGCCATTGTTTGATATAATGAACTAGGCAAATCCTTTTATTTGGATTAAATAAATAATTATTTGATACAAGCAAGAATTAGTTTATTGAAACAAATTTTGTTCAAAGTTTCAAATAAATATTTAATAGTTTATTCTATATTTTCGGTGTCTATGCGCTGCAGCAACACGTATCGTAGTGTTTTTGGAAATGAGTGGAACGAACGCAACGATGTCATGATAGGAGCTCACGCATAGAAATTCGCAAACTTCGACGCGTATTAAAAAAAAAATGTGTCACCTTAAAAGTATGCATGGACCACTGTGTCCAAATCCTCAGAGAGAATATGCCTATTGATAGTATTGATGTAACGTTATATGTAATTATATGAACGTATTGTGATCTGATCGAATTGTTTCGGCGGTAAATTCGGCTTGCGGCAGCGGCGGCGACGGTCAAAATGCCGGCACGTACGTCGAGCAAGCGGTTGCTCGATCTGCGCCTCGAGCCCGTGCATATTGATTAAGCAGTTGCAGAAAGAGAGACGGCGCATAAGGGTCACGTAAAGAAGTCTGGCCTCGTCGCGGCGGTTCTCTTGGGCGCGAGTATGTGCCAATCAGAGTTGTATAAGATGCAGCAACCACATTCCCCGACACATATACTATGACGGTGTCGGCAGCATACGGAAAGCTATCTAGCACGGTCGATGAATTAATTGCTCAATCGCGCAATTATTTAAAAAAAAAAGGAATTTCAATTTTTGAGTTTATTTATTTAGTTTTTTTCAGAAATGTCTCCGATTTCTTAAAATGGTTTAGGTCAGTGGCGGCTCGGGGGAAAAATTTTAAGGTGTTCTGCAATTCTTGTAAAAAAATTGACCTTAACCAGAAACATGGCAAACTTCAAGCATGCACTCTAACAGATCATTCTGAATTTGTTTGGAAGAGCTCTTAAATATCGAAATAATAAATAATAAAATTAGTGAAAAATATAATACAGCAAAATAAAGAGAGAGTTGTTAACTAATTACCTACAAACGGTCCTAAAAAGTGCGTGTGGCTTATATTATTCAGAAGTACCAATAAATCAAAAAAGTCATAACAGCAACACTTAAATGGAAAAAATGTTAAACGACCATTCTCAAATAATTCAATTTATGAGTCTTTATAAATCTCAACAAATCAAAAAGTAAGCAGAAAAATCCATATAGAGCATTTTTTTTGTTACATCCACCAATCCATTCTTTTTTTTATTTAATTTTAATTTAATTAATAATTAATTTTTTTATTAAATTGCCATGTAGGTATAACTTTTTTCTCTACTTCCACAGGCTATTCAGTCGTAATCTGGTAACCTTTTGCTTTTAATTCTGATTTTTATCGACATGAATATTTATAAAACCTCTGCACATTAATTCAATTGAAGGCTACTTCCACAGTTCACAGTAAATATAAATTGTCAGAAATACACTAAAACAGAAGCACATTAATTCTATTATTATTGCTTTTTCCTTCAACACGCCACAGTAACTCACAAAACCGAGAGAGAATTCTACACCATTAACCCTTTTTCACACTGCGCTGGGCTAACTGCTGGAGATCATCGCGAGGGTTGAAGTGTGCTGCGCTATTCGAAAGAGCGCTGTGAGCACGTTCGTGTGGCCCAGGTTGATTATTCCACTGGTCGATTTTACTTACGCGTTCGCAATTTGCAATTTTTTATCATTATGAGGATGCGAAATAAGTAAGTATCTTAGACTATTTAACTGTGATTTTTATCTGTAAGTTTTTAATTTTTCCGGTCCAATATTGCAAATTTTGCAACCATCACAGTTTTTTAATTCCAATCCTACGCCGTCTACTTTGCTTTGGATGATAAGGCGAAGTGGATGGTTTTAGATCTCAAGATAATATGCCTGAAGTATATTGTCACTATCATGTCCGCGTTGTAAGTATTAGTAACCCAATATTCGGCAATAACACCATAATTCGGATGCATCTAAGTTGTTTATATTTCAAGCTTCAGGAGGTCCAGGTTTCACTATACCAAGAAGCAACACCAACCGCACATACCATTTGAGTTCTGAGAAGCTGTATAGAGAGATTTCTGTTGTTTAAATTTGAAAAAGATCTCAGTGCTTTGCGAGACAAAGTCATGCGTTGATCATAGTTAGCATGACCTTTATTTTATATAAAAAACAGCTGGTTGAAGTTTTAAGAACCAAATCGTATGACAAAACTTATTTCGTAGGCGAGGTCCTAAAAAATCCGGTAATATACCGCTGAGATCACTACTTTATCCACCCATGCAAATAATTTGGGCCGAATTAAAAAACAAAGCTAAACGCAATAATACAAACCCAGAAATGTCTACCCATGTAATTAAGGTAATTAAGACGCAGTGTACATTAATACCAGAGAGCAACAGTTTGGAGAGAAAATAATTATAAAATAGCACATATTCAAACTATTTTAACGATTAATTTTATTTTAAATGTATTTTTTTTTATAATTACAATTACACAGTTTGCAATGCAACAGAATATATTCATATATTTTATCTTTCAATTTCCTTACTGCTACCCAGGACCGGCTTAATTTATTGACCCAAAAAAGTCAGTGTACAGAGTAATCTTACCAGTTTCAGTCGGTGATCTTCTAACTCTCTGATTTCGTCTGCATAAAGTCTTATTAATCTTTCAGAGGCCACATGCGGTAATAAGAATTGTTAATTTGCACTTTCACTTGTCACTGAGCACGTGTCAAAAGTTCTTAAGAAATATAACGTGAAACCCAGGTTTAACACTTGTCCAAAAATATCTCAATATCTTCAATCCCATAAAGACAAAAATCCATGCATATGTGGCAAAGAATACATAGACCGGGTGAAAAAAATCAACTACGCTCTAAGAACATGAAGGAGCATTTAGACTACGAAATCCGACATCAAATTTTATTCGATAAAACTAAATTTTTTGCATGTAATCAATCAATTCTTCTATCAACGGCTTTGTACATATTTTAGTTTATTCAGGGTAAGGTTTATGATAGGCCAAGCAAGTTATGACCATTTATCGTGTGCTGAGAGTGTGGCGTCTTATTATAATGAGAATAAAATTCAAATATTCTAAAATAAAGACGAATTCAATTCAATCATCCGGTATATTACCTGTATCATATATCTGGTACAAGAATTTCGTTAGATGAATTATTATTGATGAATTTGGTCAGGTCCATTGGTCCTTATTTTATTTCGTCAGTTTTATCATCCTTTCAAATTCTGATCTAAGAATTTGGAGTTGTGTGTCATCTTTGAAGAGCTTTAAGATGTAGTTTTCCCATTCATTCATGCGATCTTCGGTGTTTTTAGAATCTTTTCATGTTGGGGTGTGTAAATATCTGTCTTAGATGTTAGTTTCAACGTGTCTGGGTTTTTAAATACCTGTCTTAGATTTTAGTTTCTTGTGGAGGTCCAGGGTGTCATGATTCCTCTGCAAGTGTTCAATCTCTTCACAGGATTGCTTCAACCGAAGTTCCGATATCCAATTAGTTAGAAAAAGTTTGAAAAAATTAATGGAGAAAAATATGAAAATATTGACGAGGCCCATACTATTGCTTCGAAATCGTATTTTTAGAATCTATAGAATGTGTAGTTTTTGAATTTAGCTAGTTGTGTAATTTATCATTTTCGTTGCTTTGGTTTCAAAGGGGCAACAACTGAGGTTACAGGTATTCCATCTGCATAATTTTCAGTAGAACTGCTAAGAGAGAAATCAAGGCCAGATAGAATAATGGTAAGGCTATTGCAGGCCTGTCAAGAGTGTGTTTTTATCTGCTGCCAATGGAAACGTGCCAACAGGATGATTGGAGAAAAGTTAGCAAGTCCGACTCAACAACAATCGACGAGGAATCCAGAAGTTTTGTAAATAGTATTATTTCAATATACTTAAATTACTAAATAAAGTCTTTAAAGCTATTATTTTTGTAGATGTTTTGGAACTGACTACGTATTCAATGGAAAATTTGCATTTCACCTGGTGTCACTGCGACTCAAAGAATATGTTGCTTCTCTTGCTCTCACTATGACTAGACTCTACAGTTTCGATAGTATTACAGTGGCCTATGGAAGTTTCTTTGACAAATATTGAAATATATTTTTTTATTAAGTACATGACTTAATATCAGTGCATACTCAGTTAAGACTAATAATTTAGTAATTCTATTGATTATTTTGTGTGAATTCAGTGCAAGCTTAAAATTTTTAGAATTCTGGACTTCAAGAATTAACTTCAAGACTTAACTAGACATTGTCATATTTGAAAGAAAAGGTACTAGTAGTTCTAGTATCTGAGAATTTTTTCAATGATTTTGTGCATTTCTGAGTAAATTATATTCAAAATATTATTTTAGGAGCATGAAAAATATTTATGTCTTCTGATTCACCACTCAAATTTTTGGTCGTCGCCCAATTAGTGCTAATCGTTATTTTACGTTTTTTTGAGAATACTCTGAAGTACCAAAAGTTTCATAATTGGACTGATCTGTCGCGATATTAAGCGGGTCCCAGATTTTTAGGGATAGACTTAAGATAAGAAAGAAGGAAAAAGAACAGAAGAAATGATTGTTATATGAGTTATCGATAATAAACCAGTAATAGGATATTCCAAAATATGTGACTTGTGCGGCAAAATACTGCGAAAAAAATGATATGAAGTAGCGGGAGATATGGTGGCTCTTTTCATTTAAAAAAAAATTAAGCTGAATGATTGAATCTTTTTTGAAATATTATTTATTATCCAATCTTATATGACTCCTGGTGTTGAATAAAAATTTTAGGTTTTATTAGTCTTTCGGGTTTTAATGTTATATTATTTAAAAGAAAGGTTTTCCAACTTTGCAAAACATTTTTTTTCCAATACAAAATTATTAACCCTAGTAATGCAATATAATTATTTAATACATATCAAATCTTTATATTTACTACATCACTATACTTATATTATTATATCTACTTATAAGTATGAGATACAAATAACCGGTAGGTATAAAAAAAGTACAAAAACAGGTCTTCCAGCACTAATATATTTGACATTTACTTACATCTATTTACATATATGACTAAATTGTGACGGAACAATGTGCCAAATTGGCTGATACAGGACAAGTTTTTACATTGCAGGAAGTCATCGTACTCAATCTTCACGTAATGGAGTATTATCTTTATCGTTTATCGAAACGAAACCAATGGGGGAACCATATTTCATAACATTAAAACCTGTTAAGGTTTTAGATTTTCAGCCATGAGTTTGCGAAACAATAACTTCCTATAAATTTTTATCTAAACTTTGATGAAAAATTTAGCAGATATCGACTTCCATAATTTTCAAGTGATTTGTAGACTAAATTTCCACAAACGTTATTTTTTCATGAATCAAACCCTCAGTTTGTCACTATCGGATGTTATCAAACAAAGTTAGACGAATGAGTGCAATAGTGCAATACAACGACTTTTGGTAGAAGTTTTCGCTGACGTGCACCACAAACATTTCGTCTACTGTTTTTTCCAATTTTGCCAAATCTAATTTGAATTAACGACGTGATTTCGTGAAATCCAAGGGGAACAACGAGTTGGTATGGGTATTACCCCGGCATGGCGATCCAGCAATCAATTAAGCGAATTACCATTTTTATTTCGATAGTCGGGCGGCGTGTTGTCACTTCGAATCAACAAACAATAACACAATGATCCTAACCGTAAGTATGAAGAGAGAATATCGAAATGAGTCACGAG